GAAGTTTCAAAGGGTAAAACACAAAGATATAATGAAATAATGCTGAACCCTAAAGTATTTACAAGATAGTCCCTTAAGCATAGTTTGTCATGTTGCAATTACACCTTGCCTACTGCCAAGCCAAAGTGCTTACTATTGCCACTAGAGGGAGGAGTGTCTTAACACAAAGCAACAGCAGATAGGGAATGGGTTTTCTTCAGCAATTATCAGAACAAAGCTCCCTTGGCTGTGTGTACCTTCTAATTACTCAATACAATTAAAATGACTAACCTAAAACAAATAGAAGAAAACACTGCCTGCCTGGTAGCAGGGACTTCATTAAACCTTTCCCCTCATTAATCAAATCAGAAAGAAGAGAATGCCATCATACTCAAACACTGGATCTGATAAAGGCAGTGAATTCTGTGAGGTTTCATTCCTTTCTTTTAGGAGAAATGACTCTTGAAAAAGCAATGTTGTGGTATTTCCCCATCTGGATGCTGCCTGAAAACAAACTGTCCTCCAAAGAACAGAACACCGTATGTCTTCTCTCAGCTTACTGGTTTATGAACGACTTGTCGTTGCTCTTTTGTTAATACACACTCTGATGTCATTTTCTGTCTGTGATGTGCATCTTCTTCCTACTTGCCCAACTGTAGAAAGGAGACAAGGCCATTCATGCTTCCGTTGGCTCTTTTAATGTTACATTCCTCCATGGTGATGTTTAGAACAATGTAGGGATTTTTATCAGGGGAGAAGAAAATCTCAGGCAAGGGAAACAGTTACTTATTCCTTCCAAAAGACTTATGTAGCTCCTTTTGTAAGGCCCAGTCATTAACAGAAGACGACAACAGATTTCATTTTTCTTTTAGCTGACAATTGTGACTTTTTTTTGCAGCAATGTGCAAGGTGTTGAAAACCTGGCAGCTGTTACCTCCTGGGATGAAGATACTTTTTTATCCTCCCTTGACAGTTTAACTCAGTGGGTCAGCACCTTTAAAGACTGCAAAGTGTCCTTGAAGAGGATGGAAGCTTGAATTACTGCTCCCTCCCTAATCAATGTAAGCCCTCACTGCAGGTGAAGTCTCCATCTTTAGAGGTACGCAGGGGAGGGAAATGTAACGCCCTGAGCCAGATGGTTTTTATCTTGTTTTTAAAGAATAAAGGAACAAGCTAACAAGGGAGACAGCTACTTTGTTAGCTTCTTGGCCTCTCTCATGGCTTTGCATCCCCAGGGTTCCAGCTACACAAGAGAAAGAATACAGGAAAATGTAAACACTTAAAGAAATATAACTAGAGGGCTGGCATCACGCTGCTTTCAAAGAGTTGAGAGAGCTCCACTAAATGCTTTATTTATCACTGCCCACGTTCTCAGGATGGTAAGTGGACACACACACAAAAGGGGTGGAGGACGGGAGAAGAATTAGGCAGCAGCCACAATTTACTCAATTACTGAGAAAGGGAGAGCTGACAGATCCTATTAGCCCCAATGTGGGCAGAGAAGAGTTGCATGTTGTAATGCTACATTTTCAAGAAGTAAAGAGCACTTTCACATATCTTCTCTGGCCTTTGCCTCCCCTGACCCCCACCCCATCACACATGGAATAAAAACTATAAAACAGCGGCTATGGTTTCTACAGCTTCAGTTTAGGAGTCAAAGTAGAAAGAAAACTGTATCTATGTCACACTTTTTAAAAGTTCATATTTAATGCCAAATGATGACAAAAGGAGTTTTTATCTTTCAGCTTTCTCCTTCACTGTTTCTGGTAATTTTCTGTCAAGTTCTGGAAGTGCTATTATGGTAGTCTGATAACACAAGCCAAAAAGTAGTCTTCCCTTTTGTGTTTTAGTACAAGATGGCTGTTATTTCTAAGTTTTAAATGTTTTTTTAATTAACCAGTGAAACCATGAACATTTTGATAACTAAAATATTATATTTAATAGACATAACTTTCTTTTACCTTGTGTTAATTTTGTAAGCTGTATTTTCAAAGAATCTGCCCATTTTTATCTATTCAATTTTTGGCATTAAGTTATTTATATTATCCCATTATTCTTTTAATGTCTCTAAGAATTATAGTGATAACCCTTCTTTCAGCTCCTCTAATATGAAAAGTTTTCCAAATTAATATTAGTAGTCATGTCCCATCAACAATGGCAAATCTTTGCCTGAGAATAATCTATAAACTATAAGGTTTAGCTACAACAATATTAAGTAGTTAAAGCACAAGTGAATTTTTTATATTTAAGGGTAAAAGATTCCTGAAATTTTATTAGAAATATGTGTAAATGGATTTCAACTTGAGAGACTGGCCCCATGAAGCAACACTCCCTTTAGGTTGGCCTTGACATCTTTTTATCTCTAGATCATGACAATAGACAAAATAGCAAATGGCATTTCCTTATTGTCAAATGCAACAGAGAAAAAGAGGAGTTTAAACAGCTTGTGTATTATGTACTAGCTTAAAAACAAAACAAAACAAAACAAAACAAAACAGCAGTGGGGTAATCAAGTTCAGGGCAGTCCCGGACAGCTGCCCTGTGACCCGCTTCTATTGACCCCTGCTATTCATCACTCTTTCCCAGATTGAGAGGGCAAGCTCCTAGGGAGTGACCACCACAATAGACAGACACAAGCCAACAGTAATCTGGTTCGAGCAAAAAACCAGATGGCACTGCAATAAATTTACAAATCTCCATTCATGGGGCTGTTAAAACACCCAGAAGCTAAAAGGCTCTGAGGGCCCCAGGAGGATCTCCTACTTCCCTAATTCTAAAGGCCATTTCTCTTTCCAAGAACACTGAGTTCATGCTCTTCACAAAGAGAATGGAGATAAAACCCTTTACAAAGAAGGGAGGGAGTGGGAAAGCCTCATGACCTAATTAATCTCCAGAGCTTGGATCACAACCCTGAATGACAGATATTAGAAAAATCATTCTGAAGAAATGGGGAGGGGTTAAATTAAAGTGGAGGGGTGAAGAGAACCTGGTAAAACAGCAATGAGAAAAAACATTCAATCTTTCAAATACTGCACACAACAGATCTTGCAAGAAGAAAATGATTCAATAATGTATGCATTTATTTTTAAAATGAATCAGATTAGTCCCATGTGTGACCTGCTGGTCCATCTGTATGTGCTGGACTTAATAGGCACGATTCTCTCTCTTGCTTCAGTTTGAAGTATGAGAGAGATAAATTTAGTTTAATTTTCCACAGATCAGCCTATCCATTTTCCAAATGGACCATCTGGATCAGCCTATTAAAATTAATTTATAACTTTGCAGAGTGAAAATTCGTTTGTTAGCTTAAATAAAGTTGCCAAAACTTTTTGTCGCATCATTGTTTTTTGACAGTTGCTTCTGTACAGTGGACAGAGAGTCTCTACCTCCAAGTTCACCTTACTTACATTGTTCTATTCATTTAGCCTACAGATCTGGTGTCTATCTCCAAACAATTAAACTAACCATTTCAACATCAATTTGTTTGTTTGTTTTGAAAGCTTTCTATATTGACTCAATTCTATTTAAAACAATTATTTTTATAAAAAAAAATGGGAAAGTGCTTATCCAAAAAAGTGTTAACATATGATGAATGAAAAGTGATTGTGGCATGTTTTCAAGTACTTTCTTTTTAGGTTAAAGCTATGAAAACTGGACTCTGAAGGCATAAGTAGAAATATTTTGGAAATAGTAAGGTCTGAGTTCCAAATCAATGAGAAGCTCTGGTCAAGGCTAAGCTCTTCAAGTCTCTATTAGTTTCATCAGTAAATTGGAAATCATATATCTACCAACTCAGCAGGGGTATCACAGGACTAAATGAAATAAATTTGTTCATTGTGGGTATCCATCAAAAACCACATCACTGCTCTCCTGTGTCCTAGAACAAGGCCATAAACACAACAAATTAAAATTATTTATACTGCTGCTCGTACTCATTTTATACAATTTTATACTAAAAATGATTATGTGACATTTATTTTCTAGCTATAACAATTTAATAAATAAACAATTTAATGACTTGTTCTGTTTCTAGTAAATAATGAAGATATTACAGGTTACAGTAGTGAGGACTTTTTTCAGTCACTATTTTGGATATTTTAATTAAAAAAAAATCGTAAGACTGAACTTTCTTTCACAAGTAAAATACATTAGCTCTGGGAAGCAGGGCACAGAAACCTAAGGAAAGAGATTTATAGTTTTCTCTTTTTCTCCCCTATGTGTATGTACTATGCAAGTATGTGTGTGCATGTATGCAGAGGCCCTCAATCACTCTGTACCTTATTCACTGAGAACCTCTCCTGGGATCCCCTCTCTCTGCCTTCACAGTGCTGGATTACAGGTGGCCTGCCACACTCATGGGTTCTGGGGATCTGAAGTCTGGTCCTCATGTTCCCATGGCAAGCACTTTACCCACTGAGTCATTGCTCCAGTCCCATAAAGAAGGTTTTAAAGTAATCATCAATAGTGGACTTCACTTCTAGAAAAACTAAATAAATTAAACAAATTCAAATGAAAGGAAACCATCTTTGTTACAGATCTGTTTATTATTATTATCATTATTATTGTTATTTAAATGTATGATGAACCTTGGCCAGTCATGAGGTACAGGCTTATAATCCCAGCACTCAGGACACTGATGCGGGAGGCCTTCTAACCTGGGCTATTAAAAAACTACTTAATTTAAAATTAAAATGTGTAAATAATCTTTACTGGGAAAAAAATATTAGTGTTAACTATTCCATGTCCATTCTACAAAGGTCACCTTTCCTAAACAAGACCTTTTTACTTCAATTTAATTATTTACTATATATACAGACTGTCTTGTACTTTGGCATCCAGGATATTTTTAAATGATTGGGAAATAATGTTACCTGATTGAAACTGATAGCTCCGGCAGACCGACTTCAGAATACAAGGCTCTTGATTTAAACTCCAGTGTTTAAAGAATGACAGGCAGGGGCTTCCTGTGTTTTGCTTTGTTGTTGGAAGCTTTTTATTTTAAATAAGACTGAATTTCATACCTGTCTAAGTGAATTCTTCTCTGGTATTATCTTCCTAGGGGGTTCGCCATTATTACAGTCTTCTCTCTCTGAGGAATTCTGTGAAAGAAAGTAAGCTTTAATTCAGTTCTCATTATCTTCAATCTTATTCTGTGGGAGTAAACTGAATTACATTTCTAATTCTGTAAGCTAGAACACCCATGTATATTTATGCATTTGAAGATTTATATACATACAGATATACACACATGTAAAGGAAACCATATGCCCGTGTATATAAATAAATTCATGTTGGGATCTGGGTAGAAAGAATTCTGTCTGTTTAAATGCTACCCAGGAGGATCACATTGACTAGAAGTCTAGTTATCATACTTTGACACTGGGCTGATAAGAAAGTCCTAGGTCACATTTAGCTGATGACAATTTAAAGCATAATGATTACTTTCTCTCTTAAGTAATCAGTCTTCAACTACTGTGAATGTCTGTTTGATACTGATCTCCTAGTCTGGACTTGTAGAAGGACCAATCTCTTGTTCTCATCTCACATTTGACTTTTTTACACAAACGCAGCGTGGTTCTTATTAACACAGGTAACATTTAATCTAGGATTTAAGTTTAGGGCCCATTTTTTTGTCACTATCACTTCAAACAGTAGCTACAAGATCCTAAAACGTCAATGAGATTTTTATATACTAAGCAGGAACAATTAAATTAAAAACAGATTCAGAAGTGCTCAAAATCAGCTGAGCATGGTAGCTTCTGCCTTTAATCACAGCACTTGGGAGACAGGCAGGAGGTTCTCTTGAGTTTCAAGTTTGAGTCCAGCCTGGTCTGTCTAATGAGACCCTCTCTAACAAACAAACAAAATAAGGACAACAAATGTTAACCACTGACAAAACAAACACAGAAAATCCCAATTACATTTATTTGAATTCTCGATTAACAGTAACAGTTTACAGCTCACAGATGACAAATTCATTACATTATGTAAAAATCATCACATTATAACTGGAGATACTTTATGTTTAGATTTAGGACATATTTCCTGAATCTAAATATGAATTTATCTGGAAAATTTCATACATGTATAAAATTATTATATAATCACCACTGTGCTATAAACCAATATATAATACACTCTGTTTTGGGAGAAGAGAAAGGAATGAAAACTGCCCAAAGAGTAGGGAGAGATAGTTGAGTTAATGACTATAAAGCACTACAAACGAGGACACTAGGTACTATTGTTTTCAACACAGGGTCTCACTCTGCAGCCCTGGCTGGCCTAAAATCCTCCACTATGGAGAAGGATCATGGAGAAGAATTCTTAACAAGAAAAAGGAAGAAAAACCTGTAAACATTGTCAGAGCTAGTTCTTTTTGGATAGGTTAACCAAACACTTATTCTGGCCAATCCACTAAAAGAAAGCCAACCAAAATGAAAAGTCCAGCACAACAGTTACATAAAACAGAGGTAGCAAGGCTAAGTGATTAGGATATAAGGGACAAGGAACTGGTTGTTGCCTAATATTGAAGGAGAAATGTGGAGTGCTAGTGATTCAGAGATGAATAATCACTCCCAACATGAGAGTAACACGAATGATGAAATTGTCACATGGGCCTAATAGGTCACCTTGGTGGTCCTCAGAAACCTCTCCACTAACACCCAGACGAGCTCAATTACTTACTGTCTGCACCCTTAGTGAGAAGGAATCCCAACAAGAAAAGTGCCCAACTGCTCTAGTCAACAAATTAAGTTACAGTCAATAAACTCAAGAGTAACTCGTTGACACAGGGAAGAATCACCCAGGGACTACTAACCTAGCAGGTGAATCTTTTATAAATAGCAGGATTGCTACATAATTTCAAATGTATCTCCCTAAGACACTTAGAAAAAAATAGTAACTCTACAGTGAAGAAGTCTGGCAAATAACATTAATAATACATCTCTTGATCTAGAGAGATGACTTTGCAGAAGCTCTTCCAAAGGATCAGGGTTCAATTCTCAGCATCCACATGGCGGCTCCCAATTATCTGTAGCCTCAGTTCCAGAGGATCTGATGCCATCTACCGACCTACACAGGCACCAGGCACTCGGCACAAGGTGCACAGACATGCATGAAGGCAGAACACTCACACACATACAAATAAAAAGGTTAAGAAGATAGACGAACACATTTAGGATGAATGAATTGCCTTTGAGGTTTCCTTACCACGAACAGGAAACCTCTGTTCTGGGTTGGGGAGAAGGCTAAAAGGGTAAAAGCACCTGCTGTGCAAGCATGAAGTCTGAGTTTGGATCCCGAAATTCACGTAAAGCTGGACACTTCGGACACCTATAGTCTCAGTGCTCTTCTCAAGACAGGAAGCAGACAAGCTTGTCGGCTAGCTAGCCTGCCAAACACAAGAGTGAACAAGACCCCGCCCTCTCCTCTCAAACAAGGTGGAAGGCAGGTGAGGCCTGACATCCCAGGTTGTCTTCTGACCACCATATAAGTGTGGTAACACTTAAGTGTGCGTGCATGCGGCCCCTCCACCTATCTACTCACTAGGACAACATCAAACTAACCCCCAATGAGGGAAATCCTATAAGACTACTATTCTGAATTCAATAGCAACAAAAAGCCAAAGCCATAAAATACAAAGCAATTGTTTCTGATTAAAATCCCTCCCCCCATAAAGGCCAATATTGAAAAACTGGGGAAAAAAAATCTGAGTGAGGCCTTTTATATATGCTAATATTAAATTCTAGAATATTTCCCAACTTTATGTTTCACATTCATTCTTTTTGGATTTTTTTTGGGGGGAAGTATATAGCTATGTACCTATAACACAGTCAAGTTCTGAAACAATTTTACCACACCCCCAAAATTTTATGGTCAACCTTCTCCCCACTGAAAACCATTTGTTTTGTTTTAGCTCAAAAGTTTTGTCCTTTCCAGAACATCACACAATGGACTATATAACACAATCATTTGAGTCAGTCTTTTTCCCCCCATCCAACCTAACATTTTTCAGATCTACCCAGGTTGTTATTATATAAATTAGTATTTCCTTTTCTCCTCCCCTCATTTGAGGCACAGTCTCAACTGCAGCTCAGGTTGGCCTGGAACTCATTATATAGCCTATGCTTAAACTCACAGCAACCCTTGGCAACATTAGAATCTACATGTGTAAATAATATAAAGGGATTATTTGTACTATGTTTTCAACTTTTCTGTACATCTAAAAATATACCTAAAAATTAAGCAACAAGCTACTATCATTGATCATAACTCCCGTGTTCCAGCACTTGGTCCCTAGTTGGTCCCTGTTTTGGGAGTTCTAACCTCTAGGTGGAAGAGGAACGGTTGGCAGCAGTGGATCACTGAAGGCGGGCTCAGCCCTGCTTCCACCATGGCACCTCTGCTTCCTGCCTCTCCTCACAAGGACCAGTCACCACATGCTCCTACCACCAGAGACTGAGCTGCTCCCGCTCTCAGGCCTTCCTGGCATGATGGACTCTTCACTGTGAGCCGAAACAAAAGCCTCCTCACTTAAGCTGCTTCTGCCCATTACTCTGTAAAGGTGATGAGAAAACTAACTACTGCCGAAGTCAAACCCAGAGCACACTGTGTTAGGAAATGGCGGGGCGTGGGTGGGAGGAGAGATGTGAGTCGAAGAATTTTAGAGGCGAGCGGGGGACTCCAAAATGTAACTGAGACTTTTTCTCTTTTGAGACAGGGTCTCATGTAGCCCATCTCCACTGGGATTGGCTATGTAGCTGGGATATATATTCATACATACCACCAAATATGACTTTACGTGACTCTAGAAATTAAATCCAGGGCTTTGTGTCTTATAGGCAAGCAGTCTAGAAACTTCTAGAAACTTACTATACCCTCAGCACCTGAACTTACATCCTGTCACAAAACCCTAAGCAAACCTGACTGCCGAGAACAATTCACTTCCAGCAGTCAGAACACTTCATTACAGTAAATAATTGGTTCAATGTGTTTGTAGTCCTTGAGGAAAAAAAAAATCCCCGAATAAAAGAAATTCTTCAAATAGTAGCACTATGCTAAATTACATCTGAAAAAGATTCTAGAACCAGCAAGATGGCTTCCAGATAAAGGCACTGGCTGCCTGACAACCTGACTTCCTTCCATCCTTAGGACCCACATGGTGGGAAGGAGAGAACTGACTCTCCCAGGCTGTCATCTGACTTCCACACACAAGCCATCACACACACACACACACACACACACACACACACACACACACACACACACAGAGGGGTGTGGGGAGGGAGGGAGAAAGAGATTAAAATGCAACAATTTTATAAAGATTCTATACAGCTTGTTACCTTTTATTAACCCAAAGGTGTCCCACCTTCCCCTGGCTTGAGTGCTTAGAATTAAAGAGGGATGTAATTCTTCTTCTTCTTCTTCTTCTTCTTCTTCTTCTTCTTCTTCTTCTTCTTCTTCTTCTTCTTCTTCTTCTTCTTCTCTTCTTCTTTTTGTTGGTTGTGTTGTTTTTTCGAGACAGGGTTTCTCTGTGTAGTTTTGGTGCCTGTCCTGGATCTCGCTCTGTAGACCAGGCTGGCCTCGAACTCACAGAAATCCGCCTGGCTCTGCCTCCTGAGTGCTGGGATTAAAGGCGTGTGCCACCACTGCCCGGTGAGGGATGTAATTCTGACTGAAGTTTGTGTGTGTGTGTGTGTGTGTGTGTGTGTGTGTGTGTTTTGAGATAGGGTCTCAGATATAGCCCAGGCTGGCCTTAAACTCCCTAGGTAACCCAGGCTAGCCTTGAACTCCTTGATCTTCCTGACTCATCTCCCTTGTACTGGGATTGTAGGTGTACCACCATGCCCAGCACTTCAGTGAAAACTTCAAACTGGAAGTCTTCAGGTTGTGGCATCTGCAGACATAATACTGATGGGTAGGAGTAGTGTACGGAGATGAAATATTAATGAAGAAAATAATTTTTAAAGGTGAGATACTGTTAAAGTTCAGGCAGACCTCAAATACATTATTGGAAAATATTTTCAGAAGTAACCCAAGATGAAGAAGTAACCACAAAAAAAGTTCAGAGATGGCATGGAAACATAAGCCTTTAATCCCA